GGGAGAAAATTCTCTCCCACAATAACAGTCGTCAATTTAACAATAATCACTAGCAGTTGGTAAATGAATGGAGAGATGAGACCTTGGAAAGATCTACAAAACCCCTACCTTCCATCGTACTTCAACTCTTGAAGATACCCACCCACTTACTAGACCTATTACATTACTTGGATGAGTCAGGTTATTGGAAAGAATGCGAAATAGAGCCCCTGGCCTCTCTGGAATAACAATGAAATAAAAGTCCCACCCAGAAATTTAAAACAGTCTTTGGTAAATATCTTTAATGCCATCTTGGCCTCAGGACATTTTCCAGTTGTTTTTAAGACTGCTAGGATGATCTTTCTTGGTAAGCCCAATAAAGACATTCACCAACCTGGGAACTATAGACCTATATCTTTATTTGAAGTCACTGGAAAAGTTCTTGAGGTCATTTCCAACAGATTGAACTACTATTTTGGGGTTTAATCACTTTTTACTGAAAAAACAATTTGGCTTTAGAACACAGAGGAACAAACATGCAATAAATGTTATTTTCGATACTGTAGCAAGTCTAAAACATCAGGGCAATCTTGCCTTAATTGCCACCAGAGATGTTCATAAAGCTTTTGATAGCTTATGGCATGATGGCCTTATATACAAACTCATTGACCTACCAGACCATAACTGGACTTTTCTCAGAGTAATATATAATTTCTTAACTCAAAGAAAAATCATTCCCACCTTTCATGGCAGGTCGACAGAGCCTTTTATGCCGACGGCTGGTATCCCACAAGGTTCTTGTCTCAGTCCACTTCTGTTTGACCCAAGAAAATTGCGAAGAAACACTGCAGTCCACTTCTGTTCAACATTTATGTGAATGACCTTCCTCAACCAGAGTTTAATGATACAATTGTGACACAGTTTGCATGTGTATTTCATTTTCGTCCCCATCAACTCCGGTAACAGGAAAATACAAGTATGAGAGAGTCACAGAAAAAATGAATATTGAACTTCGTCGAACATCTAATTGGGAAAAGTAATGGAGAATTACGACTAATCCTGACAAGGTCCTTGTTAGCACGACAGGATGTTTTGCATCAACAATTGAAGATAAAGGAGGTATCTCCATCAGAGGTACACCTGTAGCCATTAGAAACCCTAACAAGATTTTGGGATACGAAATAGACAGGCTGCTCCACTCAACATCTCATGTAACGAAAAAGATCAACATAGCCAAAGCCGGTCTTAGCAGTCTCTTTCGATTCAATCAGGCCCCTCAACCTGTCAAAACATCTGTATAAAATGTTAATAAGACCTATACTCGAATACCATTGTGTCCCAATGTCATTAACAACAAAGACCAACATGCTACGGTTACAAAGGGTCCAGAATAGAGCTCTTCGCTTCATTACCGATACTAGGAGGAGAGTTAAAATGGCAGATTTACACATACAAGATATTACTGCCATAAATGTACGCCTTGACACCCTAAAAAAGAAACAACTCTATACAATGCAAGAACTATACATGCCAGATAGAGAACATCCTATACAAGTGGTAAATACCACGGATTATACCATCAATACTCCTCCTCACAGGACTCAAAGAATGACTCTCCCCCAGAGGGTTTCCGTCGTTTTATTCATAAAGATGATTACCCTCGACCCATGATATTGAGCAACCTCCCTGATGAAGAAGATTGGGTACCACCAGAGCCCTTCTATGTGTACTGAGAAAATCATCGACCCCGATTAGGGAGACATCTTATATAACAATCTAATGTAAAAATTATGCTATTTACTATGGCTGGACACCACCTGTAAGAAGCCATTGTCACGTAATTCTATAAACTGGCCAGAAAATTATTGCCTTCATTGTCGCATAAATATCCGTTGTGCAATCGCAAAAAAAAAATTGCAACTTGTATAATTACTACCAATTCAGAGTCATGTACTTATATATCTGTTATATCTAAGTGACTCTGATGGGTTAGTCTTATACCCCTTAAAGAATATCTTATTTCACGTACACTTTTTAAATTACACCAAAGTGGTTGGGCCACTTACCTTTTATATCCTACCTCACTCCCCCCTCCCACCCTTTTCCAATATTTCTATCCTTACCCATCCTTCTTCCTTACCCATCTTACCAAAGCTCTGGTCTGGACAAGACAAGACAAGATATCTCCTCATCAACTAATAATACGAATACTACCTGGTGGTTCACACTTACACTCACTCACCCATTTGACCATAAACAGAAATATCAATCTCAATCTCAAAATAATGAATCTTAACTAGTCATAAGTTGGCCTGTGATACTCCAATACTGAAACTATGTATAGTGCCAAAACAAAAGCATTCACATTGCTAAACTCACAACTAGTATTTAGTCACTTAGCCATAATACCAACTTATCTCATAATTTTGTAACATTTTAAACCTAAGATTTAATATAAGTCTGCCCGAAATGCCTAGCCATGCTAGGCGTTCTAGTGGTACACTCTGTAATTATTATTTTACTACATGTAAACCACACAATAACCAAATTCTGTAAATTCAGCATTGTAATACTTATAGAGAATAAAGTTTGAATTTGAATTGAATTTGAATTTGAATTTGCTATACCATAGGTATCGCGAATGATCGCTGGTAACAATAAATCCATGTTGGATCCCGTGACAGCACCACGGATCATCTCAATGCAGACAGTGTTGATTCTTCTTCTGCTATTCAGCGCCATGTTGGAGAAAATAAAGTTTCCACCAACCAACGCTAGGGTCAGCTCAATCAGGTAAACTGCGCAAAAACAAACTCAAACAGGAGCGTCGTCCACACGGCTCGGAGGCGATGAGGACAATGTGAAACAAACATCACATTCTTGAGCAATAAATTTAATGTTGAAAGACAACGCATATAACACAAAAAGCAAAATAGGGAAACTTGTGATGAGACAAATACATAGTTTTAGAGTGTAAACCGTGTAAGGAAGGCGCCTCGATGCTGGTAATGGGTTCTTGATTCAATGAAATGGAGCTACCTTCCCTTTAATTTGATCAAACCTGATTACATACTGTTTCCCAAAAGCTGTATGATCCCTATCGGTTTAGCGTATCTCAGTGAATATTATAATAATCATTGAGGTCGACTGGTTGATTGAGTAATTAAGGTCAGAACCTAGCAGCAACTACACCAGGCTCACTAAAACTGCGTGTTATCTCTCCATCACCAATTTACCTTACTTTACTCCCTGAAATATGGATTATTGTAAACTATACACGCTGAGAAACATAAAATGAGAGGTGTAATTACCCTGACGTCTACTCTAGCGGGTTTCTTTGCATGTCTAGCAACATTCTCAAAAGTAATTTATGCATTGTAATGTCTACTTAGAAAGGAGGGTCAGGAGGACTATTTAGCCCGGGTCTTCAACTCAAAGACAACCTCTCTCACATTGTTGCTCTGCTTGATGTTGAGAAATAATATTATCATAAACAGTATTCAACAAATTCGTGAACAGTGGGATGTAATCCTGAGGCCCAGTGAATAACAAAGAATATTGGTATTAAGTTAAATCACAGCTGACCTACGGAATGTAATGCTGAGAAGCATTATAGGTTCAATGTCTTTTTTGCATTCATTGTCTTTATGTTAGACTTTCCATGTAGCTTTGAGTCACCAGCTAATTTGTAACTTTTTGTTCACATCAATTTTACAGGCTAAGAGCTGTTATCCTGCTTCAGCTCATTTCAAAGTCCAGCTCTATCTAAGGTATATTAACATCGCCCAGGATGCCACCCACAAGAGTCGACTAACACCCAGGTACTTAATGCTGCTATGTGAACAGGGACAGCAGGTGTAAGGAGACATGCCCCACATGCCTACCCGTGCCCACCCGTGCCGGGTGAGTTTCTCTGGCAGTTCAAAGTCAAAGTAACGAAGATTTAGTTACAGCAACTGAAGAATTTCAGCGACAGTATAGGAATAAAATGTTACAACATCGCACTGAAGACTTCATCTTCCTTAAGTGATATAATTAACGAACTTCACATTGCAATGAACACCAAAGAAATTGCTTCAAAATTAATTGGTTTTTGAAGTCCCAGTTATTATTCTTAATATCATATTTGCAATGTTATTTTTTTGTCAATTTATGTGCATCTGTGACGTCAAATGCACCTTCACTATGCAACAAGAAAGTTTGAATGGACTCACCATGTGAACATCAAATGTAAATTGCACGAAATTTACATTTTTACCAACATTTACAAACTTCAATCTATTAAACCGAGTATAGGTTACTGGCCGTCTTCTTATCACCAGTGTCGAGGTTGGGAGACTACTCTCTCCCGTCTTCGCATTGGCCATACTCGTCTTACTCATGGATATCTCATGGAGAGGCGCCCTCCTCCTCTCTGTGAGAATTGCCAAGTTCCACTATCAGTCAGCCACATTCTGTTGGACTGCCCACTTTACCAACGAGCACGCAGAATTTACCTCCGTCGTCGTCTTCGCTCTGCTGCTCTCTCTTTATCTTCCCTTCTCGCTGATGGACCCACCTTTCATCCAGACTCTCTCATTGACTTTTTGACAACAACTGACTTACTTCACAAATTCTGATACCTTCAGCCCTTTCTACTTCAATCTCTTGCTACCCTCTACCCCCGTACTATCCCCTGCCCCGCTGTTTTCTGTAACCTACTGATCATCCCTCCTCCCTTCTGCCGCCCAATACCCTCGCTTCTTCCCTACCCTGCAGCGCTGTATAGCCCTTGTGGCTTAGTGCTTCTTTTTGATTATAATAATAATAATTTACCAACATTTTCAGTACTTTCGCAGGGAAGATAACAGGAGAAGCCTTAGTTAATGAATATAACATTCAGCTTGTGTCTAGAGCCTCGCTGCTCCTCTGAGAGGACATGAGCCAGATTATGTAATATAAAATCAGTTTCTTGTAGGTTAATATTAGACAGACACAACCACCTATATATAATTCCTGACGATTAAAACTGCGCAAATTACCTGTTCTGTTTTCCGCCCATGTTTGGTCCAGAAGGTGACGGGACATTTTATCCTCTTGCCAGTACGTTCGTCAAACTTGTAGCAGCTGTTGAATGGTGGGCAGTAGAGATGTAGGGAGATGGCACCCTCACTGTGTGAAGTGTTCTCCACGCGGTGTAACCCCAGGGAATCTGAAGAAACACTCTTCAAGTCACTCCATGCCACAACACACTACCTTCAACACTCCGCCATACTACAAGACGTAAGGTTTGTCTGGTAACAGGACAACTGTTTCCTGGCGCGGGTCTAGATGACCCGCAGCTGGAACTTTTGGTCATCTGACCGAGGCCACCCCTTTAAAAATTATGGTTAGGAATTACTGTTGTCTGATTTTTACAAAGTTTCAAAAGAAAACCCACATTGGAGAGAGAAAAGTAAGACGCCGGTCGGTCGTGTGGGTGTGTCCCACCCACGTTTTATTTTATTTTTTATGCGAAATATTCCTTAATTTGTTTTTTTGGGAGGAGGGTTCTTTTGATGCGGGTGAGAGCTTCTGACCCAAGAAATAAAGTCCCCCCCTTTCCCCTTCCTTGACTCAAACCTAATTACTCCAATCCAAAAATGTTCGCACTTACGTAAAAATTTATAGAAATAATAATTATTAATTATTATTTTTTTAAATATTTTTTTAAAAAAACAATGCAGCAGTTACGACATATTAAAAAACCCATTAATGTACCCAGACTTCATTAATTTTGAAAACTTCCTTAAATTTCAGTCATTTCTTGCCCCAACATTGTTCACCCTCATCCCCTGGGCCATTAACCTGACTTCTTAAAGAGAACCCGGACATATCGAAAGTTTTAAGCTATTTACATTGTACAAAACAACATAATTAAAAAAGCGAAATTTTTAAAAATAAAAGCGGGGGGAGGGGGGGGCCCAGAGTATGTTAAAGATGCAGAAAGTGTCGGGGCCAAGATTGCTAGTTGTCCCCCAGCATACTTAAGGGGGTTTCCAGTAGACCCCCTGGGATTTTCAAGACAAGCTGGACGGGTATTTGAAATCAGTCCCAACCCGTTGCGGGGCCGGCCACGTAATACGGGTTGATCAGGCCCATCCCCCGCGGGTTTGGGCCCTGGACCCCGGGGCCCCGGGGGGGTTGACCCCCGAAACCCCCCTCCCGATCAAGGATCAGCATTTTAACCCTTATTTAATACTACTTTACTACCCTAATAAACTAAAAATAAAAAATAGCAAAATTTTAAAAAAATTTAAAAATAATAATAATAATAATAATTTAAAATACTCGGTTGATAGCAGTGGGGATGATTGTTACCTTCATGAAGCAGTGAGCCCAGATGGTCAGGGTGGGGAACATGAGACGGTCCCCCACAAAAAACTCAAATTTAAATTTCCATCCCTTTATCACAAATTTCTTGGTATCTTGAAAGGAAAAAAAAAATTTTAATAGTAAATTACAAGGAAAAAATAAAAATAATAATAATAATAATTATATTTATATATATAATATATATATATATATATATAATTTAAATATATATATATATAAATACATATATAATATATATATAATAATAAATATTTATATATTTTAATTAAAAATATATATATATATTTTATAATATATATTATAAATTTATATATATTTTTTATATATTAATAATAAATTTTTATATATATTTTATATATATAATTATATTTATATATAATATTATAAGACACTACCAGCAAAGGAATTGCCACACTTCAATTCCTGGATAAATAAAACCCCCATTGAGAGGCAGGGTTTGGGAATTTTCCTGTTATTCAAACTCGTTTTTTTTTCTAGTTTTAATTTTAAAAAAAAAATAAAACCAAAAAACAAAAGGGGGTTTTTTTTTTCAAAAAATTTTTTGGGGGGAAGGGGCCCCCGGGGTTTTTTTTCCCCCCCCGGGGGGGCCCCCAAAAATTTTTAAAAAAAAACCGTTTTAAAAATTTTTTCCCCTTTTTTTTAAAAAAAAAAAAAATTAAAATTTAAAAAATTTTTTTTAAAAAAAAAAAAAACCCCCCCTTTCCCGGGGAAAAGGAAAAAACCCAACCCAAAATTTTTTTTTTAAAAAGGGGGGGAAAAAAAAACAAAAAAAAAAATTTTTTTTTTTCCCCCTTTTTTTTAGGGGGTTTTTTTTTTAAAAAAAAAAAAAAAAAAAAATTTTAATTTTTTAAAAAAATTTTTTTTTAAAATTTTTTTTTTTTAAAAAAAAAAAATTTTTAAAAAATTTAAAATTTTTTATTTAAAAAATTTTTTTTTAAAAAATTTTTTTTTTTAAAAAATTTTTTTAAAATTTTTTTTAAAAAATATTTATTAAATTTTTTTTTTAAAAAAAAAAATTTTTTTAAAAATTTTTTTTAATTTTTTTTAAAAATTTTTTTTATTTAATTTTTTTTTTAAAAAATTTTTTTTAAAATTTTTTTAAAAAAAAAATTTTTTTTTTTTTAAAAAAAATTCCCCTTTTTTTTTTTCCCCCCCCCAAAAAAAAAAAAAAATTTTTTTTCTTAAAAAAAAAAAGGGTTTAAAAAAAACCCCCTTTTTCCCCTAAAAGGGTTTTGGGGGAAATTTTTTAAAAAAAAAAACCCCCCGAAAACCCCCAAAAGGTTAAAAAATTAAAATTTCCTTTTTGGGGCCCCTTTTTGGGGGGGAAAAAAATTTTTTTTAAAAACCGGGCCTTTTAAAAAAAATTTTTTTAAAAAAAACCCCCAAAAAAAAAAAAAACCCCTTTTTTTTTTTTTTTCAATTTTTTTTTTTTTTTTAAGAAAAAAAATTTTTTTTAAAAAAAAAAAAAAAAAGGCCCCCAAAAAAAATTTTTTTTCCCCCCTTTAAAAAACCCAAAAAATTTTTTTTTTTTTTGGGGGTTGGGGGGAAACCCCCCGGGGGGGAAAAAAACCCCCCCCCCCCCCCCCTTTTTTTTTTTTCCCCAAAAAAACCCCCCCCCCGGGTTTAAATTTTTTTTTCCCCTTTTTCCCCCCCAAAAAAAAAACCCCCTTTTTTTTTTGGGTTTTTCCCCTTTTTTTTTTCCCCCCCCCGGGGGCCCCCCCTTTTTCCTTTTTTTTTTTCCCCCCTTTTTTTCCCCCCAAAAACCCCCCCCCCCTTTCTAAATTTTCCCCCCCCGTTTCCCCCCCGGGGGGTTTTTAAAAACCCCCCCCCCCCCACAATTTTCCCCCCCCTTTTTCCCCCCCGGGGCCCCCCAAAAAGGGTTTTTTTTTAAAAAAAAAAATTTTAAAAATTTTAAAAAAAAAATTTTTTTTAAAAATAAAAATTTTTTTTTTTTTTTCCCCCCCCGGGGGGTTTTTTAATTAAAAAAAACCCTTTAAATTTTTTAAAAAAAAATTAAATTTTTTTTAAAGGGGAAAATTTTTTTTTAAAAAACCCCTTTTTAAAAATTTTTCCCTTTTTCCCCCTTTTTTTTTTGGGGCCCCCCCCCTTTTTTTTTTGGGGGGGGGGCCCCCCCCCTTTTTTTTTTTTTTCCCCCTTTTTAAAAAAACCCCCCCCCCCCCCCCACAACCCCCAAAATCCGGCCCCCCGGAAATTTTCCCCCTTTTTTTCCCCCCCCCCCCCCCCCCCCCCCCGGGGCCCCCCATTGGCCATACTCGTCTTACTCAGGGAATCTCGGGAGAGGCCCCCCTCCTCCCTCTGGAGAATTGCCAAGTTCCATACAGTCAGCCACATTCTGTTGGACTCCCCCCTTTACCCGAGCAGCAGAATTTACCCCGTCTGTCTTCGCTCGCTGCTCTTCTTTACTTCCCTTCTCGTGGGGGACCCACCTTTCATCCGACTCCTCATTGACTTTTTGACAAAAAATGACTTCTTAAAAAAAATTCTGATCCTTCACCCCTTTTTCACTTCAATTCTTGCTCCCCTTACCCCGTACTACCCCCTCCCCCCGCTGTTTCTGTAACCACTGATCACCCTCCCCCCTTCTCCCCCCCAATACCCCGCTTCTTCCCTACCCGCAGCCGTAACCCCCTTGTGGCTTAGTGCTTCTTTTTGATTTAATAATAATAATTTACCAAATTTTCAGTATTTTCGCAGGGAAGATAACAGGAAACCTTTTTAAATGAATTAACATTCCTTTGCTGGCCTCGCTGCTCCTCTGAGGGGGAATGAGCCAGTTATGTAATATAAAATCAGTTTCTTGTAGGTTAATATTGAAGACAAAACCCACCTTATAAAATTCCCTGACGATTAAAATGCGCAAATTATGTTTTTTTCCCCCCATGTTTGGTCCGGGTAGGGACATTTTATCCTCTTGCCAGTACTTTTCGCAAACTTGAGCAGCTGTTGAATGGTGGGCAGTAGAGATGTAGGGAGAGGCACCCTACTGTTGAAGTGTTTCCACGCGTGAAACCCCCGGGAAATCTGAAGAAACATTTCAAGTCATCCATGCCACAACACATCCTTCAAAACTCCGCCAACTACAAAACGTAAGGTTTGTCTGGTAACAGGAAATGTTTCCTGGCGCGGGTCTAGATGACCCGCAGCTGGAATTTTGGTATCTGACCGAGGCCACCCCTTTAAAAATTATGGGTTTGGAATTTTGTTGTCTGATTATTTCAAAAGTATTCAAAGTAACCCCCTTGGAGAGAGAACAAAGTTTAAGACGCCGGTCGGTCAGTGTGGGAAGTGTCCCCGCCACGGATATTTTATTTTTTTATGCAGTATATTCCTCTAACTTGTTTTTTTAGGGAGGGGGTTCTTTTTATGCGGGTGAGGCTTCTGATCCAAGAAAAAATAGCTACCCCCCCTTCCTTTTCCCTTTACCCAAAACCAAATTACTCCAATCCACAAATGTTTGCACTTACGTAACAATTTATAAAATAATAATTATATAATTATTATTATTATTAAAAAATTTTTTTAAAAAAAAATGCAGCAGTATAGACATATTAAAAAACCCCCTTAATGTGCAACTTCATTAACTTTGAGAACATTCTTCTTTTTCAGTCATTTTTGTCCATCACATTTTTCACCCTCATCCCCTGGGCCATTCAATCTGCTTCTTGAAGGAACCGACATCATCTGCAAGTTTTAAGCGTATTTACATTTGTACTAAAAAAACATAATTAAAAAAGCGAAATTTTCTAAAAAAAAAAGCAGGGGGGAGGGGGGGCCCATGGTTGTTAAAGAAGCAGTAGTGTCGGGGCCCAAAGATTGCTCAGTTGTTCCCGCATATTTAAAGGGGGGGATTCCGTAGCCCCCCTGGCGATCTTCAAGACAAGCTGGACGGTTTTGAAATCAGTACCTGACCAGCAGGGCCGGGGTTCGACGTTTTTGCGGGCGGCCACAGTAATACCGGGTGATCGGGCCCTATCC